CACACACAGTGCTAATTGCAATTTTTTGGGGAAGCTAGTGTGGGGTGGGTCGGTAGGGTTGCCAAGTCTGGATTGGGAAATTCCTGGAGCGTTGGGGGGCAGTGCTGGGGGGGCTGAGGGGAGGGTTTGGGCAAGGGAGGAAGCTCAGAGAACTTCAGTGTTGGCAAAGGTAAAGCGATGCACATTGGGACAAAAAAAATATCCCAACTTCAAGTCCAGCCTGATGGGGTCTGAACCAGTGCTCCCTCTAAGCTGAGTTTGTGTGAGCCAGCTCACAGTCTTTTAGCCTCCGGCTCACACATTTTTGTCTTCGCTCGGGAAGGAGGGCTCCAGAACACACTAATTGATGCAGCAGCCCACAACTTTTAATGCCAGTAGCACACCAAGTAGGATTTTTGCTCACAGGACCCCACAGACGGAGAGGGGAAAAAGATCTCGGGGTGGTCGTGGAGAGCTCAAGGAAAGGGTCGACCCAGCGTGCCGCAGTGGTGAAAAAGGCAAACTCTGTGTTAGGGACGATTAGGAAAGGGACGGAAAATAAAATACCCTCATATAGATCTAAGGTGTGGCCTTATTTAGGATACTGTATACCGTTCTGGTCGCCGTATCTCAAGAAAGGACATTGCGGAGCTGGAAAGAGTACAGAGGAGGGGAGACGAAGACGATGGAGGGGTTGGAGCCCCTTCCCTAAGGGGAAAAAGCCTGAAGAGTCTGGGACTTTGCAGTTTAGAAAAGAGACAACTAAGGGGGAGGGGGACACGGTAGAGGCAGGGCTCTTTTTGTAGAGAAAGCCCAGCAGGGACTCATTATCATAATAGGCCACACCCAACAGCAGAAACACATTAGCCTATTAGGCCACTCCCCTGACAGAGCAGCTCATTGGCCTATTAGGCCACACCCCCACGTTACCAGAAGTGTGGTCATTCAGCCACACCCACCTTTCCCTTCTTATTCTGTTGACCTTGTTTGTGGTCAAAACCCAGGGCCTTTTTTTGTAGCAGGGACTCCTTTGCATGTTAGGCCACACACCCCTAACGTAGCCAATCCTAATGAGTTTCTGCTGTTGGGTGTGGCCTATTATGCTAATGAGTTCCTGCTGGGCGTGGCCAACTCGGGAGCCAGCCGGAACTCCGTTCCTGTGCGTTCCTGTCCCAAAAAAGCCCTGGGTAGAGGTATGCATGGGGTGGAGAGAGAGTTGAAAACGAGAACTGTTTCACCGTCTCTCAAAAAGACGAGAACTCGAGGGCATCCAGTGAAGCTGATGGGCAGTAGGTTCAGGACAGACAAAAGCAGACACTAAGAACATAAGAGACACCAATGTTGGATCAGGCCAAAGGCCCATCCAGTCCAACACTCTGTGTCACACAGTGGCCAGAAATACCAGGTGCCATCAGGAGGTCCACCAGTGGGGACACTGCTTTACACAGAGAGTGATTAAAAGGTGGGATTTGCAGCCAGCGGATATTGTGATGGCCGTAGGAATAAACCGCTCTAAAGGGAGATTAGATAGATCCATGGAGGATAAGTCTTATCTATTGCTACTATTCCTGGTGACTGAGGGGAACCTCCACATTTAGAGGCACTCAGCCTCTGGTTCCCAGAGCCAGGCGGCAAGATCAGGGGAAGGCCTTGGCTTCTGTGTCCTGTTTTTGGCTATCCAGAGGAACTGGTTCATCACACTCTGTGAGACAGGATGCTGGACTCGATGGCTTATTGGTCTGATCCAGCAGGGGTCTCAAGTAGCCATTTTCTCCAGGGGAACTCAATTTTCATGCTCTGGAGATGAGCTGTAATTCGGGGGAATCTCCAGGTCCCACCTGGAGGCTGGCAACCCTTGTTAAGAGCAGCCCTCTGCCTTTCTTCTCCTCCCTTTTCCATTTGGAAAGCCTACTCCTCTTGAGTAGGCAGCTTTTGCTGCTCCCCTGGCTGTGTGGAAGGGGGGGGGCTTCCCTCCATGGCTACCAGAGATGATGCACGAGGGTTGCAGAATCTTCTCAGGGTCCGCTGTGACGTGCCTTGAAGACGGGCGCCTCTAATCTGATTCAAACAAGCAGAGACCGTGGGCAGAAGATTTGTCCCTGCAGTGCTAGCTTTCTACACGCAGGGAGTTCTTCTGTTATTCAAAGGAGCATTGACAGTTTCCCGGATCAGGGTTGGAATCTCCCGCCTGCCTTCCTGAGCCAGCCAATCCAGTCCTAGCACCTCAGGGCCTTCCCACCTCCTGATCTCTCCTCATTCAGTGGAGCAGGCTGGGGGGGGGGGTCCTGGCGTCTGTCAGAGGGGAGTGGGGCGGCTTCTTGCAGAGTCAGGACTCCACACCAGTGTTCCCGCTAAGCTGAGTTGGTGTGAGCTGGCTCACAGTTTTTTAGCCCCTGGCTCACACATTTTTGCCTCCGCTCAGGAGGGGATGGCTCCAGAGCAAAGTAATTGATGCAGTAGCCAAGTCGCTCGCTCCCAACTTGAATGCCGGTAGCTCACAGGGTAGAATTTTTGCTCACAAGACTCCACAGCTTAGAGGGAGCGTTGCTCAACACCCAGGGATAGAGATGTGAAGGCCCGGGGGAAAAAACGGAAAAATTCAGAAAAAAACGGGTTTTTTCCGTTTTTTTCCTGAAGATTTTTTTGTTTTTTTCCGAAAAATTGAAAAAAGAAAAGAAAAAAATTGATTATGGAACGGTTTATTTTAACATGATGAAAAAAATATTTTAAGACAAGGTGTTCAAATATTTTCCAAATCATTTCTAATATATATATATATATATGGTATCAGATTGATCTAATTTCTGTGCACTGAGGACAAGCAAGTCCTAGGTTACAAACTGAACTCTCCAATGCAAGAACAAGATGCATTTCTTCCTTTAGGAGGTGCGATTGTCAGAAGAAAATAAAAAGGTTTCAGTTTTGTTTTTGCATGTGGGCGGGTATTCTGTTTGTAATAACTGTTTGGATACACTATATTTTTAATATGCTAGTTGTGATCATTTCATGCCAAGTAAAATTAGCGTATTTTATGTTCCTAAAGTAACAGAATGACTTTCAATCTAGAAAAGACAAAAGAAGTGCTAATGTAGCATTTTTTTCAGTTTTTCCGAAAATTTCCATTTTTTTCCCGAAAAAAACTGGGGGAAAAAACAGGGTTTTTCTGAGCTTCAAAATTTCCGGAAATTTTACATCTCTACTCAACACCCAGGGATAGATTTGGCAAGTCTGGGAGGAAGTGTTGTCAGGAGGGGACGGGTGGATTAGGAAGGGGGGATGTTCCCCCATAAAGAATGACTGAGAGGGGGAGAGGTGGGGCGAAAGTTCTGGAGTCTTCCTTGATCGCCATATCTCAGACAGGACAAACGGAAAGACCACTTTACACAGAGATTAATTAAAACGTGGGGTTCGTTGCTAGAGAATGTAGTTTGGCATAGTGGTTAAAGTGCGCGGACTCTCATCTGGGAGAACCGGGTTTGATTCCCCACTCCTCCACTCGCAGCTGCTGGATGACCTTGGGCAAGGCACAGTTCTGTCAGAGCTGTCCTTGAAAAAAGAGCAGTTCCTGTGAAGAGCTCTCTCAGCCCCGCCTACCTCACAAGGGTGTCTGTTGTGGGGAGGGGAAGGGAAAGCAGTTTGTAAGCCGCTCTGAGACTCCTTTGGGTAGTGAAGGGCGGGGTATAAATCCAGTCCCTTCTTCTTCTAGTGATGGCTACAGGGGGAAAAACAGCTTTGAAGGGGGATGAGACACATTTCTGGAGGATGTCTATGAATGGCTTCTTTCCCTGGTGACTAAAGGGAACATTCACATTCAGAGGCACTAATATAATATAAAGCCCTTGATGGCCAGGGTCCAGCTTACCTAAGGGACCGCCTTTCCCCATATCGCCCCCCAAGAGCCCTACGGTCAGAGGTGCAACATCTTCTGGTTATTCCAGGCCCCAAGGACATCAAGTTGGCTGCAACCAGGGCCAGGGCCTTTTCGGTGGCGGCTCCTATCTGGTGGAATGAGCTCCCGGAGGAGATCCGGGCCCTGTGGGACCTTGTGCAGTTCCGCAGGGCCTGTAAGACGGAGCTCTTCCGCCAGGCTTTTGCATAGGAGCCACCACCGCCACTGTACCACCACCGAGTTGCCATCTTTGACGGTGGATTCTATCAGGATGTGAGCTGGCCCTGGAAAGACGACCGGACGACCTGAAGAACTGGTCGTGAAGGGACGACAGTATTATCCGGAACTTACGCTGATGGGTCGTGCTGGTTAATGGGACCCCATCTTGGACTGATAAGAGTTTAATATCTAGAGCACCAGCACTTTGTTTGTGATGGAATGTCTTATTCTGTTTGTAGTTCTTCAATCATGGCATAGGCCTCTTCTTTTAGCTGCCCTGAGTCCGTTTGGGGAGGGCGGGATATAAATTTAATAAATAAATAAATAACCCTCAGTCCCAGAACTAGGAGGCAAAATCAAAGGAAGGCCTCGGCCTCTATGCCTTGTCGTTGGTCGTCTGGAGGAACTGGTTGGCCACTGTGTGAGACAGGATGCTGGACTAGAGAGACCACTGGTCTGATCCAGAAGGGCTCTTCTTAGGTTGCCCTGACCCGTATAGCCCGATCGTATTCATATCTCAGAAGCTAAGCAGGGTCGGCCATAGCTAGAATTTGGATGGGCTTTCTGCAAGGAATACCAGGGGGATGATGCAGAGGCAGGCAACGGCAAACCTCCTCCGAAATATCTCTTGCCTTAAAAACAAGTCTAGCTGACCACCTTGTGTTGCATAACACTTAAAAGAAGGCTGAAGCTTCACGCTGCCAGACAATCTTAGGATCTCTTGGCTATACTACGCACACTGCCATATGATAATGTCAATCTTCTTATGTTCTTTCCGGGGGAAGGCCTTGGCCTCTGTGCCGTGTTGTTGGCCGTCCAGAGGAACCGGTTGGCCACTCTGTGGTATGGGATGGCGGACTGGATGGACCATTGGTCTGATCCAGCAGAGCCCTTCTTATGTTTTCAACGCCAGGATCTCGAATTGTGCTCTGGAGGGAGAGTCACTCTGGGGACTGGAACAGAAATGATATGAATGGCAAAAAAAAGGTATCCCCACCATTTGTCTTTTTCACCCTCCCAGGCAGCCGCGGAAAGAAACCTTCAATGCCTTCTTCGCTGTCTCTGTGTGGTGGAGGGAAAAGATCCGCCATGAGGCCTGCTCAGGTAAGAGGGGGGCGATCACTGGGGAGACGGGAATGGCTTCTTCCCTGTCACAAGCAGGGGTCATTTCGTAAAAAAAGAGGTGCAGGAGCTCATTAGCATAGCTTATTAGCATAACTCATTTGCATATGTCACACCCCCTGACATAACCGGAAGTGTGTCAAAAGGCAACACCCACCGCTCAGGCGCCACTGGACTGTTTTGGATTGCTAGCTATTGGGGGGTGGGGGTAACGTGCAGATCTGCCCTCACAGAGGAGGGAGAGCTTGTACCTGAATAAAACTTGGTCTTAAAGGTGCCACTGGACTGTTTTGGACCAGGGGGGGCAGGGCTCTGCAACTTACCTGGCTGCTTCTTGCTCTGACTGAGGGCTGCTGGGAGCAGGGGGTGGAGCTTGTTGCATGTGCCTGCCCCCAGGGCTCTTTACTGCCGGAGCTCCGCTCCTGGGCGCTCCTGCGGAAAATTACCCCTGGTCACAAGGTTCACCGAAACTTACTCTTTGCCCTTGGTTCTGTTCAAACTCTGTCTTGGATTACATGTTTAGAGAGGCTGCATCAGGGACAATCAGAGGTCATTTCGGGGGGGAATGCGGGGGAACACAGTTGCACAGGCCGAGCCCCCGCCCCCCGCTTCCGGCCACCCCGCTTCTGGCCCTCATTCAGCCAGGAGGAGGCAGGAGAAGAGGGAGGGTAAGTTGCTTCCTCCCTGCCTCTCCCCACCCCTACCAGCCTGGGGCCAGGGAAGGCCTTCGCGGGGCTTCCTTGCACTCCCGCCGGCTTTGCAGGTCCACCGCCGGGCCCCTCATGGGGCTCGGCAGTGGAGCTGCAAGGCCGGCACCGGCGGCTGGGACCGTTGTGGGCGGGGTGTGTGGCCTTATGACACATTTCCGGTGATGTCAGGAGGTGTGGCCTTATGACACACTTCCAGTGATGTCAGGGGGTGTGGCATATGCTAATGAGTTATACTAATGAGTTCCCCTAGCTCTTTTTCTACGGAATGACCCCTGGAGACAATCAAACAGTACCGGTTACCAACCTCCAGGTGAGGCCTAGAGTTCTCCTGGAAATCTCCAGAGTAGAGAGATGGGGGCAGGCTTTTTGGCATCACCACCCTGCTGAGCGCCCTCCCCAGATTCTGCCCTCTACAAGCAACACCCCCAAATTTTGAATTTCCAAAACTGGAATCAGCAGCCCTAGTCAAGGGCTAGATGTGGAGCTTTGCTGGAGGTTCCTCAGCCTAGCCAAAAAGGGATGTGGAACCTCCAGCAAATATTCTCTGTGGAACACCTGGCAGAAGCCCAGTTTGCAATTCTTGACAGCTGAAAGGCAGCTGTTGAGGAAATCCTTCGTAAGTTTCGCTTGTGCCGTAGGAAGAAGATCTGGGTTTCTACCGGTACCTGCTGGGACAGAGAAGCAATTCTTTCCCTGGTAGGAGAAGGCCAGAAGATCCACACCTGACTGTGGGAATAAATTTTTCTCATTTATTTATTCGATTCATTTATGCCCCTCCTTCCTCCCTAGCGGGGGACCCAACGTGAGTTAGATCATTTTCCTGTCCTCCATTTCATCCTCACAATGACCTTAGGAGGGTAGGTTAGGCTGAGAGCATGTACCTGGCTCAAGATCACCTGGGAAGTTTCCATTGGAGAGTGGTTTTTTCCCCCCAACCTGGATTTCCCAGATTCCAGTTTGAGACTCTAGCCGCTACACCATGCTGGCTTTCAAAAATATATTTTAAGATGATCCAATGTACTCTCTTGTCACCACCTAAAAACATGGGGGCGCTGCGCTTTCACACATGCTAAATAATAAAAGGAGCATATGTTAAAATGGGCAATTAATATGAATAAAGAAATATCTATGTCATCATGGGAATTTTTGTGGAAGAATGCAATGAAAATATCAACATGTAATAATTTAAAAGAAAATTGTTATAAGATGATGTAGAGATAGTACATGACGCCAAAAAAGATTGCAAATATGAATTGTAATGTTTCAAACAAGTGTTAGAAATGTAAAAAAATAGAAGGTTCATTATACCATATGTGGTGGACCTGTGAAAAAGCGAAAGAATTCTGGACTGATATACATGCAGAAATGGAAAAGATAACGAAGAGTAAATTTTAAAAAGAACCAGAAATACTGTTGTTAGGTTTAAAAATGGAAGAAGTTAACATGACAAAAAGGACATTAATGTGGTATATGATAACAGCAGCAAGAATAGTGTATGCTCAAAATTGGAAACTGGACAGAATCCCTGTGTAGAAGAATGGATTAAAAAAATGCTTTTTATGGCAGAAATGGACAAAATGACAAGAAAACTGAAAGATTTGGAGGCGGAAGAATTTTTTGCAGACTGGAAGGATTTTAAGGACTATTTAGAGAAGTATTGGGATGTGAAGGACAATCTGATTTGCTTTGAAAACTATTAAGGGGATGTAAAAAAGAAAAGAAATGGACTTAAAATGATAAATATGTGAACATTTGTTACCTATAGTTATATGATAAAAGATTAGAAACATGTTAGAATGTAAGATTTGAGCTGGTGGTGGAAACGCTGTTGGAAGCCTATGAAAGGGAGGGGAGTAAGTAGAAAAGGATATATATTGAAGTTGATATAATATGAATGTGTATTATCCTAATAAAAGTTGTTTTTAAAAAAACCCATGCTAAATAATACAGTTCTAATCCACTTCAGTGTCTGTTTGCAAGTGGATTTTGCCATTTCACACAGCAAAATCCAATTTTAGAGTGGATTGAAAGTGTGTTATTTATTGATTTTATTTTATTTATACCCCAAACGCCCCACCCATAGTTTTTAGTAGAGAGGCCTGTGGTCAGAAATTCAGTTCTGTGGGAAATCTGGCAGACAGTATTGGGAAATGGTTTTTCTGGATGATCTTTCATCCTCTGAATCCCAGGGCCTAGAGGCAACATCTGCCCTGTTGTTGGCACCTGGGTTTTGGCCACTGTGTGGCACAGAGTGTTGGACTGGATGGGCCATTGGCCTGATCCAGCACTGACTTCTCTTATGTTCTTATGTTCAGAGGAACTGGTTGGCCACTGTATGAGACGGGATCTTAGACTGGATGGACCATTGGTCTGATCCAGCAGGGCTATTCTTATGTTCTTAAGAATGGGAAATCCAGATGTTGCCCACCCCAGAACTGTGACAGGGGATGGGGATGATCAAAATGATCAGCAACCTTTGTTCAGTACTTTGGATATAACTCAGTTTTTAATTTTCCCAGATATTCATTCAGCAAGCCTTTGTAGGTCCTATTAAAGCTGATTGTATTGGATTATCTAAAAATGAACTGGAGTTTGCTTGGCCGTATATTTATTGGAAAGCTGAAGGCAAAAAGTGTAGCTTGCGAAAGAAAAGCTCGAGGGTCTACACTGGTGATAGTTACTCCGTGACTCACGGAGAGCCACATTTGCAGTTTTCATACACGAAAAATGTTTGGGACTCCTGCTTTTCTCGGGTAAAAGCCACAGCCCTCTATGTTTGCGCCTCCTCCCCAAATCAGCGTGTGCAGTATGTGCTATAATGTCGAGAACACGCTAGTTTCTGGATGTACACTCCGTTGGGGCAGCCACCATAGAGACCCTGCTGGAGCTGGGTGCCAGTCTGGACTCCACTCATGCTGCAGACGTATCTCCTTAAGAGAAAACAGATGCTTCCTCAGGTACTGGTGTAGCCAGTTTGGTGTAGTGCACAGACTCTAATCTGGGAGAACTGGGTTTGATTCCCCACTCTTCCACTTGCACCGGCTGGATGACCTTGGGCAAGCCGTAGTTCTGGCACAGCTGTTCTCTCAAGGGCAGTTCTTGAGAGAGCTCTCTCAGCCCCACCTACCTCAGAGGGTGTCTGCTGTGGGGAGGGGGAGGGGGAGGAGTTTGTAAGCCGCTCTGAGACTCCAAGTGAAGGGCAGGGTATAAATCCAATCTCTTCTTCTTCTTTGGGTAGGGAAGGGCAGGGTATAAATACAATCTCCTCTTCTTTTTTTTCTACTTTGAGCCCAATCCCTCTCCAATCAGGTCTGGTCATTAAGGCTGTTTTGGTTGATTGTCATGATCAGTCCACTGTCTCGTCAGACAAACTCTTCAGGATGATTCCAGTTTGGTGTCGTGGTTAAGTGCGCAGACTCTAATCTGGGAGAATCGGGTTTGATTCCCCACTCCTCCACTTGCACCTGGCTGGATGACCTTGGGCAAGCCGTAGTTCTGATAAGAGCTGTTCTTGAAAAAGAGCAGTTTCTGTCAGAGCTCTCTCGGCCCCATCTACCTCACAGGGTGTCTGTTGTGGGGAGGGGAAAGGAGTTTGTAAGCTGCTCTGAGACTCCACTAGGAGCTGCGGTGGCTCAAGTGATTAAGACGCTGAACTGCAGGCTGTGGAAGGTCAGTAGTTCAGCAGTTCGAGACCCAGGTGTGCCGCGTGACGGAGTGAGCTCCCATCTCTAGTTCTAGCTCCTGCCAACCTAGCAGTTCGAAAGCAAGAAATTGCAAGTAGATTAGTAGGTACCACTTCGGTGGGAAGGTAACAACGTTCCGTGCGCCTTGGTGTTTAGTCATGCCGGCCACATGACCACGGAAACGTCTTCGGACAGCGCTGGCTCTTCGGCTTTGAAACGGAGATGAGCACTGCAACCCTAGAGTCGGATTCAACTGGCTTTCGAGCAAGGGAACCTTTACCTTTTACCTGAGACTCCAAGTGAAGTGCGGGGTATAAATCCAATGTCTCCTCCTCCTCCTCCTCCTCCTCCTCCTCCTCCTCTTCTTCTACTACTACTTCTGGGAGTCCAACCTGGCTTTCATTAGGACTGAGTACCAGGAAAGAGGCAGATTCCAAAGGCCAGAAGTAAAGGCCAGAAGTTCTTCTTTCCCTCACCAGGCCAGCCTTAGGCTTCACACCACTTTTTGCTCCCTCATCGTGCGTTCACACACACGCACTGAATCATGCACTTACCTGGCTGCTTCTTGCTCCTCATGGCCCAACCGAGGGCTGCTGGAAGCAGGGGGCGGAACTTGTTGCATGTGCCTTACTGCCGGAGCTCCGCTCCTGCGCGCTCCCGCAGGAAATGACCCCTGGGTTTATGTTTAGATTTCTCATGAACCAATTTCCCAGCGATGGCAATAATTACTTTTTTCTTCCTCTTCCTCCTCCAGAATCGAGTGTCCTTTGAAGAGGTGGCTGTGTATTTCACCCCGGGGGAGTGGACTCTGCTGAGCCCAGCCCAGAGAGCTCTCTACAAGGAGGTCATGCTGGAGAATTTTGGGAACGTGGCCTCTCTGGGTGAGGGATCCTTTTCTCCTTGACGCTGTTGAGTGTGGCTATGAGTCTTCTCTGTTCATAGTTAGAACATAACAACATAAGAGAAGCCAGTGTTGGATAAGGCCAGTGGCCCATCCAGTCCTACACTGTCACACAGTGGCCAAAAATATCAGGTGCCATCAGGAGGTCCAGCAGTGGGGCCAGGACACTAGGAGCCCTCCCACTGTTCCCCCCCCCCCCAGCACCAAGAAGACAGAGCATCACTTGACCCAGACTGAGAGTTCCTATCTATACCTTGTGGCTAATAGCCACTGATGGACCTCTGCTCCATATGTTTATCCAGTTCCCTCTTGAAGCCGTCCATGCTTGTAGCCACCACCACCTCCATGCATAATCTTATAAACCTGATCGAGATTTATAAGATTATGCATGGGATAGAGCAGGTCGAGAAAGAAGTACTTTTCTCCCTTTCTCACAATACAAGAACTCGTGGGCACTCCATGAAATTGCTGAGCAGTCGGGTTAGAACAGATAAGAGGAAGTACTTCTTCACCCAAAGATTGATTAACACAAGGAATTCACTGCCCCAAGTGGCCTTTAGAGGGCCACCAGAGTAATTAACTCATCGAATTCATTGCTGCGGGAAGTAGTGGCAAATACAAGCATAGACAGTTTGAGAGGGGATTGGATAAACATATGGCATTGGGGGCAACATTGGGAGGGCTTCTGGAGTTCTAGCCCCACTGGTCGCCCTCCTGATGGGACCTGGGTTTTGGCCAGTGTGTGACAGAGAGTGTTGGACTGGATGGGCCATTGGCCTGTTCCACCATGGCTTCTCTTATGTTCTCAGCAGCTGGGTGACTTGGAAGGGGCCAGCAGACTACCCTCCCGACCATTAAAGATGTCTGTCTGCTGTCTCCTAAATCTGACCCACTCTTATTCTCTGAAAGAAATCAGTTGTGATGATTTTGTAAAAGAATTGTTGCTGATAGACTCATTGATTGTTTTTGTAAAGGACGCAAAGCTCACCGGGTGATCATTTCCCCTCCGGTTCATTGGTCCCGCTACCCATCCAGTGCTCCACCACACACCTATTATTACCCTGCTGTGCCTTCCAGGATTATAGACACGTTGGCTTGGAAGAGCCAAACTGATGTGCACAGGGTAGAATTCTAATTTTCTGCTCTTTTTTCATGATGCAAAGGACCAGTGACTGCCAAACCTGACCTCATCTCCTGGCTGGAAAGAGACGGAGAAGAAGAGCTGTTCTTCCTGTTCTCAGCTGAAGAGGAAGGACTGGCAGGTCTGTATTGGGATGGTGTGTTTCTTGTGCTTCATTCCTAGGGCTGGTGTATCTCTGTGTCCTCCTTTATCCTAAGAGTTGGTTCTCCTCCAAAGAGCTGGGGTGAGTTGTGAATGCTGAAAAGGTCCCTGTAAAGGTTGAAGAGCAAATAACTAAGCAATCGGTAGCCTCCATCACTGCCTGAGGAGAGACTCACTGGCTTGTCGGTTTGTTTTTGAGAAGCCCCTCTGAACCTACTGATCCTTAAGCACAGGACCAGATGACCAAAAAAGACTTTTGAAAGTCTTTTGAATTCTTGTCCTCTTTACCACAGTTAATGTAGTTTGTTCTCTCTAATGTTCCTGCTCCATTTTTCACAAAGTTCCTGAAAAGTGTGTCTTTCTTTCAGCCAGGGGTATGCAGAGAATGCAGAGGGAGGCGAAAAAATATAAATGCCTGGAATGTGGAAAAAGTTTCAAGCGGAGTGACAGCCTTACTTCCCATCAAAGAATTCATACTGCGGAGAAACCATATAAGTTCCTGAAATGTGGAGAAAGCTTCAATCAGAGTGGAATCCTTATGTATCATTGGAGAATTCACACACATGAGAAACCATATCAAAACCTCAAATCTGGGAGAGGCTTCAAGCAAATTGGAAGCCTTATGTATCATCGGAAAATTCACACAGAGGAGAAACCTTATAAATGCCTAGAGTGTGGAAAAAGCCTTAGAAGCAGGAAAAGCCTAATTTATCACGAAAGAATTCATACAGGGGAGAAACCATATAAATGTCGAGAGTGTGGAAAAAGCTTTCGACAGAAAAATATATTAACTTCCCATCAAAGAGTTCACACCGGGGAGAAACCGTATAAATGTTTGGAGTGTGGAAACTGCTTTAGTGGCAAAGGAAGCCTTACTTACCATGAAAGAATTCATACAGGGGAGAAACCGTATAAATGTCTGGAGTGTGGAAAAAGCTTTCTACGGAAGGATACTCTGACTTTTCATCAAAGAATTCACACAGGGGAGAAACCATATAAATGCCTGGAGTGTGGAAAAGGCTTTAGTAGCAAAGACAACCTTACTTACCATGAAAGAATTCATAGAGGGGAGAAACCCTATAAATGTCAGAAGTGTGGGAAAAGCTTTCGACAGAAGAAGATATTAACTGTCCATCAAAGATTTCACACACACGAGAACCCATATAAATGCCAGGAGTGTGGAAACTGCTTTACTAGCAAACAAAGCCTTACTTACCATGAAAGAATTCATACAGGGGAGAAACCATATACATGTCTAGAGTGTGGGAAAAGCTTTCAACGGAAGGATACTCTGAATTTCCATCGAAGAATTCACACAAGGGAGAAACCATATAAATGCCTGGAGTGCGGGAAAAGCTTTAGTCAGAGTAACCACCTTACTTCCCATAAACGAATTCACACAGGTGAGAAACCATATAAATGCCTGGAGTGTGGAAAGTGCTTTAGTTGCAAAGGAAGCCTTACTTACCATGAAAGAATTCATACAGGGGAGAAACCATATCAATGCCTAGAGTGTGGGAAAAGCCTTAGAAGCAAAAAAGGGCTTGTTTACCATGAAAGAATTCATAAAGGGGAGACACCATATAAATGCCTGGAGTGTGGAAAAGGCTTTAGTAGCAAAGGAAGCCTTTCTTACCATGAAAGAATTCATACAGGGGAGAAGCCATATAAATGCTTGGAATGTGAGAAAAGCTTTATATGCAAGGATAAGTTAACTTCCCATCAAAGAATTCATACAGGGGAAAAACCATATAAATGCCTGGAGTGTGGAAAGTGCTTTAGTTGCAAAGGAAGCCTTACTTACCATGAAAGAATTCATACAGGGGAGAAACCATTTAAATGTCTGGACTGTGGGAAAAGTTTTCGACAGAATAAAGTATTAACTTATCATCAAAGAATCCATACAGGGGAGGAACCATACAAATGCCTGGAGTGTGGAAAAAGCTTTCTATGCAAGGTTAAGTTAACCTCCCATCAAAGAATTCACACAGGGGAGTTCCCATATAAATGTCTGGAGTGTGGAAAGTGCTTTAGTTGCAAAACAAGCCTTACTTACCATGAAAGAATTCATACAGGGGAGAAACCATATAAATGTCTGGAGTGTGGAAAAAGCTTTCGACAAAATATATTAACTTCCCATCAAAGAACTCACACAGGGGAGAAACCACATAAATGTCTGGAGTGTGGAAAGTGCTTTAGTTGCAAAACAAGCCTTACTTACCATGAAAGAATTCATACAGGGGAGAAACCATATAAATGCCTGGAGTGTGGAAAGGCCTTCAGTTGCAAGAAAAGCCTTACTAACCATGGAAAACTTCATATGGGAGAAACCATATGTATGACTGGAATGTCAAAAAAGGTTTCCACAGAAGGATAAACTAATTTTCCGTGAAAAAATTCACGTTGGTGGACAAAGCTTGGAAATGTCTGTAACGTGGAAAGGCATTTAATTAAAGAAAAGTGGATTGGAAAATTAGAAAGGAATCTTATTTCTGTCATAAAAAATCTTAAACCATCCTGTTTCAGTAGAAAACAGAAAGATTTCAGTCTCGATACCTGAAGAAGTGAGCTGTTCATGAAACTCATCCCCTCCACAAATTTTGTTAGTCTTTAAGGTGCTATCAGGCTATTGCTCTTTGCTACTGTTACAGACAAATATGGCTACCCGTTGCATTCTGTTTCACACCTTCTGTGGAATGCTAGAATTGTGGGAGTCTTCCTTTGTTGTCAGGACATTCCCCCTAGTGGGAGCCACATGAAAGAATCGTTCTGTATGTGTTGCTCTCAATCTCACCCATGGTCTTTGCACAGATGAGCAAAGCAGTAGCAATAGATCGTATTGAGAGCAACAGTCCTATAGCTCTGTAGACCTTAAGCTCTGAAAGACTTTCAGTAATGGTCAGCACCTTAACATAAACTGAAAAACTAAGAAATCTCCAAAAGAGCAATTCAGATACGTGTCAGATGCATTCTGTGCCTCACCCCAAATAGTAATCAAGCTGCAACGTTCTGTACCAGCTTGACATTCTGACTTCAAGGGTGGGCCCATGTATATTGCGTTACAGTAGACTGGCTGCATGGTTACTGTGGCTTTGACTTTCATTGTATTAATTCTA